CCGATGCTGAAACCGGGCGCCGCGCAGGGCAGAGATGAGTGGCGAGGTGTTTCCGACGGCGGCGTTAACCCTTTCGTTACCGGAAAGCGCGCCCGCGAGGCCTGACTCAGAGCTGCCAGTCAGAGCGAGAAAGAGAAATCCCGCCAGTAAACAGCCTCCGGGTCCTCCCGGGCTGGGAAATTCTTCAAGGGACGGTGAGATCGGGCAATATCGATTTGTACAAAAGCTCAGCCTCGGTTTCCCCTAGCACAAAGCGCACCGACCGGCTCCCTGCCGCTTTCCTCCCTCCTGCTCCTCCCGGCAGGGCACAAGGGGCCGCATCCAGCTGGGCAGGAGGGTTTTATAGTTTTTCTTCCCACCCGGCCGGACACTATAATAAATTCCCTTTTGTTGCCCGCATGCCACTAGAGGACAGTGTCAGGCTGGAAATAAATTGCATTTGAGGCCTGTGGGGAGTCAAGCACCCGCAGGGTGGGCGCCAACCCCTTTGGGAAGACGCGTCCCTGCTTTGGACCATGAGGGATAGGAAGGTCCCTCCCAAAAATGTGTTTTCTCCGTGTCTTTGCATGGCCTCTTTCTGGAAGACCTGCTTTAGGGAATGTGAGTTACTGAGCTCAATGTACTTTGGTTAGGCAGCAGTCAGGCTAAGTCTGGCTCTGTCATTGGTGTGCTGAAAGGGGGCAGTGCTCAGCCAATGTGTAAAACAGGCAGAGACCCGCTGCTTTGCGGCAGGCACCGGGCCGCACGGTGGTTTCATCCCACTCCTCTGAAAGCTGGCCAGAGAAATGGGCTGTTTTTCACGGAGGAAAGAGCCACCTCAGCAGGCAAGGAAAGAACAGGGCTGGCCTAAATTCCCCCAAACCCTGAATCTGCCAGAGGCACTCGGTGGTGCAGGATCAGTCTGGTCTCACATCGCATCCAAGGCTGCTTTGAGCTCAGACTAGCGACGTCCTAAAGCCTCTGCAGCCTCGATTATCCCGTGATGCTGCAGGGTCTCCGGCTGCTCCATCCCGGCACGCGGGCTTGCGGCCAGCAGCACCTTATTTTTGGTGCTGAGGGTGTGAGAGGCAGCTCCAGGGCGAGCCTGCAGCCAGGACCTACCGAGGAGGAGAGAAAGGAAAAAAAAGAAAAAAGAAAGGCGGGCGGGCGGAAAGCCCCGGGATGCG